ATTGAAGGCAAAGACATTTTTTGAAGAGCATCCGAAGGGCTGGAGAGAAGACAGCTCTTGCAGCGGACACAATGTGGCTCACAACCATCTGTAACACCAATTTCAGGGGCTCTGAGGGCTTCCTTGAACCTCCACAGGCACCACACGAGGATGCGGGACACAGACATGCATGCAGGCAAAACATTAAGACACACAACATAAATAGACCTTAAAAAATTAAGGGTAGTAGTGAGGCAAAAGCTTAAAAGAAGGAAGCAGGTGTCCTCTTGGCCCCGGCATTCTTGTCTCGGTGTGTGCGGTCCACAAGATGGCTGATTTCATGCTATCTCTCCCCTTGTTCATTTTCTTACCCTCTGACTGGGTTTCCGCTGAACTGTCCAATCTTGTAGCTTAACAAGTCATAGTAATTTATTCAGACAGATTTCCAGAAGCCCAAAGATTTGCTCATGAGGTATGGTTGATACTGGAAGCTGAGATGGAGCATACTCGTGTTGGGAGGCAGAGGGCGGAGGATCCCTGAAGTGTGAGGGCAGCATGGGTGAGGCACTGCCTCCACCCCTGCCCCCACCAAAAACACGAAACAGAAAAAAACCCAAAAGGCATAATGATGAACAGTGAGAAAGGGGGGACCCCTAAAGTGGGGACTTTAGGCTGTTCAGCATGGAATGGGGTACTGGTAAGAGTTTTATCTTGATGGAGTCAAGAAAGGGAAACATTGATTTGATCGTGGCCATTTGCAAGCCTTGTGTCCGGAGCACCATCTTCCGGAGGCACAGGCATTTCCAGTTTATTCTGGAACTTTGATGGCCTGTATCTGTGCCCTTAATACTGAAAAGCCAAGCTCTTTTCCCTTTGGAAGTTAGGGCCACTACAGACCCCTGACCTCTCCCCATAACTCCTGAACACAATCCCTCAAGTCAAAGCAAACGCGCCCCACAGAGCCTGAGGCTACTCTTCAGGGGCCAGAACTCAGCCAGGAGATCAGCTTGTCTGTGGACCTCGGTTTCTCTCAGCTTGTGACAACCGAGATGCCGCTGGGGCGTGTGTGCGGGAATGAAACAGCTACGATGCTTCAGAACTCCAGTGTGTGTGTGTGTGGGGGGGGGGGTGGCTGGAGTGCCTAGATTTCCATATTTCCTCGTTGGATCTCAAACACGTGTGCTGTCCTAATCGGGTAGTGTCCCACTTGTTGGGCTGGGCCAGGTATATTCAGAGAAACCACAAGGTGCTTCTCCAGCCCCACTGCAAGGCCACAGCGTGGGTCAGATGTTGCTCATTCGTTCTCTCTGGTGGAACTGTTTTCTCACGTGCGGCTCACCTCACTTGCCCTTCAGCGCTGAGCGTCTGCAAGGGTCCCTAGCTTTACCACTGCACCGAATGTAAGTGGATAGTGAGCATTGTTTAGACTTCAGTAAAAGGAACCAGTTAGAAAACAGACTTTAAAAATGGCAGGACACCCAGGTGTGGTGGTGAGTGCTTTTCATCTAGCCTCTGGGAGGCAGATGGCAGGTGGGTCTCTGCTAGTTCAAGGCCAGTCTGGTCTACAGAGTGAGTTCCAGGACAGCCAGAGATACACAGTGAGACTCTATCTCATCAGAGGAAAAACAGTGGGATACTTTCAAAACTTGTCCATCGCCAGAAGTGTAAAGAGGAATTGTTATCTTATTTTTGTGAACTCCAGTCCATGTATGCCCATGTGTCTGGCTTTATGTGGTGATATTTTGTTTGTACTATAGCAAATGAAGCTTGCCTGAAGATCAGAGTGCAGAGGTAGCCACAGTAGTTAGCCATTGAGGCCAGGCAGTGGTGGCACAGACCTTTAATCCCAGAACTAGGGAGATGTAGGCAGATGGATCTCTGTGAGTTCAAGACCACCCTGGGCTACATGAGACAAAATCAGTCCAAAAGAGAAACAGAGCCAAGCAGTGGTGGCTCACACCTCTAATCCCAGCACTAGGAAGGGGAAGATAGGAAGTGATATGGCTGCCAGAGAGAGGAATATAAGGCAGGAGGAGACAGGAGCTCAGGATTCAGTCTGAGGATTGGTAGAGACAGGATATCCCTCTAGGCCTGAGGATTTCACAGATAAGAACTAGTGGCTGCTGCTTTGCTTCTCTGATCTTTCAGCTTTCACCACTAATATCTGACTCTGGGTGTTTATTACTAAGAGCAATTAGAGATTACGATACAGCCTTAGCCTCCGTAGGCTAGGAACCACGTCTGTGCTGTGACTCGGTAGGTCTGGTTACGTGTGTGTGGGAGGGAACAACAGCAAATACCGTGGTTGTTGCTCCTGCAGCGTCTCTTTGCCAGGCCCTCTATCTCATCCTAGACCTTAAGACTCACGGTGGAAGAGCGGGACGGTTCTCGTGTAGCTGGGAAAAGGAAGTTGGAAAAAAGGTTCTGTTTTCAGCAAGTTTGAAGGGGGCCTGATTGCTTTGTAGTTGATCCTGGTAGCAAGGACACAATGCAGGGATCACGAACCTGGAAAAGGCTTTGTCTTCTAGGTTGTGGTCTAACCTGGTTATTTATGATCCTACATGAAATCCTACTTTTCCTATATCCCTAATCTGCTTTGATAAATTTATTTCATGTTCTTGGATCTTCATAGGGGCTTTGTGTGAGAGTGTTTGGCAGTGTCCCCGTGTGTGAGAGTGTTTGGTGGTGTCCACGTGTGAGAGTGTTTGGTGGTGTCCCCGTGTGTGAGAGTGTTTGGTGGTGTCCACATGTGAGAGTGTTTGGTGGTGTCCCCGTGTGTGAGAGTGTTTGGTGGTGTCCACGTGTGAGAGTGTTTGGTGGTGTCCACGTGTGAGAGTGTTTGGTGGTGTCCCTTTCCTCCCATTTTTGGGATTCATGAGAATTTGAGAATAAACAAGCCCATCAACTGCTCCCAGGATTCAAAAAGCAAGTCCCATATGCAGCCGGAGGGAAACCTTGGTGCTGGGTGAGCTGGGAGATCCGGTCCATTATTGTAGGGATGCCCTTCAACCCTGGTTATCTGGGATGGTCACAATGCCAGACTAACTCTTCTTTTCATACTTCCAATGGGACACTCTATAGTTATAAACCATGCTGATGTCTGGGGAACAGAATGTCTTACATTTTTCGACCCATTATTGTGGGTTTGAAATTAGAATTCTCTGACTCTTGCTTCCATACAGGAGTAGGATGGTTTTGGTCCCTCTGGTTTGGGGCCGTGACCTCTGACCCGAGGCTCCTCTCCTGTGAGTGTCTGGGCCCTTGTGTCTTTGTGCTTTTCTTGTCTCTGGAGTCTGGATTGAGTTTACTTGGGTGGCGTTACAGCCTGCTGAGTTGACGGATGGGGGGAGGATGAGCAGGGCGTGGAAAAGGGTTTCGGGGCAGATTGGAAGAAAACCCCAGGGCACCTGAAGTGAAGTCTGAGGACAGAGGCCCTGGCAGACTCAGACTGTGTGTTGAGGGGAGGGTGGGAAGACAGCCAAGGGTGCTGGCTCCGAGCTAATACCTGGCTGGCAGCTCGAAGGATGACTTCTCCCTTGGGCCTGTGGAACGTTCCCTCAGCAGGGAGTCAGAACCACCACTGTGGAGGACAACGTTTAGCGTGGGGTCTCTCCAAAGAGAAGGGGTTGAGAGGTCAGTGGAGGTCTTACAAAGAATGCCAGGAGGTGCAGCTCTGGGGACTTCTCAATGCTGAACTCACCAAATGATCCCCAGACTTCCTGCAGGGCCGCCCGCAAGTCGGCCAGCCCCTTTACGCCATGTTGTAATTAAAGGATAGATATTTTGATAGTATTTCAAAACTACTTCAAAATGATATTGGCAGTGATAAAAGTCCTCAGCATGTAACTGAAATCTTGATTTTGTATGAGTTAACACAGTCTGGTCATAGGTGGCTGCACGGGTTGTATGGGTGATGCTGTCCACATAGACTCCAGCGACAGGTGCACAGGAAAGGTGAACTGCCCAGTCGTAGGCAGCACCCTACAGTCGTAGGCAGCACCCCGCACTGAACATGACACACAGCCATCCACGTCATTTTCCTCCGGCAAACAGGAATTCTTTCACTGAAGTTCGCTTACAGTCTAACTGGAGCACCAGGGCCGTTTCCACTGTTTCATTCGCTCGGACTAACCTTAGTTATTATTCACCGGGGAGCTCATGAGCTGAAACCTGGCACAGCTCACTTTGTTTTGATGCTGCTTTTCCGCTCGTGGCTCAGAAGGAGACTGAATGAACTTCATGGCCACAAGTTTTGCTGTTGATAGGCAAAGACTAGATGTGTATGGAGGCTCTGAGGGAATTAATTCTGAAATCACGTAAATGCTAGGATGAGGTGCATTGCCAAGCTCACTTTCTTACAGGCCCAGGTAGCTGTGCTCACAGAGATTCTGATCAAGCTGGTGGTTTCGCAGCTGTGCAAATGAGAAATTTCTTATGCGCTTGTATTTATCTTTGGTAGAAGCCGTATTTATCACTTCGTTCTAGTCAATGACTTTAGAAGGGAAATATAATGTTTCTGTGTTGTTGGGACAAGGAAACCCTCAGCCCTTCCTCGTTCCTGGAGAGGAGGGTGGGAAAAACAAAAGCACTCATGCAAGGCTGATAACATGAACCTGGATGTAAATGGTTCTGGGGTACATAACCTGACAGTAGCCCCAAACATCAGAGACTAACAAAAGTACTATGAAAATTACCATCTTTGAAATAAAAACATCCAAACTATGGTTAGCATAACCCACTGTGTGATGGAGCTAGCACGGGAGAAGTGGCCAAAGTGAGCTAATTTTTTTCCAAATTGATTTCTCACTTTTTTTCCTTGAGGTATGGAATTGGAGGAAAGAGGAGAGAATTTAATCTGTAGGGCGATCACAACCGCAGCTCTTAGAGACTTGTCCTTAGAGACAGGCTATCTGGCTGTAAACCTTCAGGATGTATGTGACACATTTTGCTTGGTAGAGCTAAGCAGGTTTTTCCCCTCTAAAATGCATACTTACAACTCTTTAATGTGTTTTGCTTTGCAGAGACAAACCCAAACTACCCTGAAGACCTCTACGAAGGTAGCTATCGTGTTTCTTCACTCTGTAATTTCTCTAAATGTTTGTGTATAATGAAATAAATCAGCTAGATGAAGACCTGTAAGCTGAGTTAAATACACATTTTTAAGTGCTACACGGGCCAAAATAACATCTCAAGTATCACCCAGTATTGACGGCTCTTTTCCCTGGGTATTTGCAGTGCCTGTAAAAGGCACTTCCTCTCCCAGGCTCTCTTCTTGGAAGTAGTAAATCCATTCTGGCTCCTGCAGACATCTTGTTTCCGTAATTGGGAACTAATTACCTGTTTAAAAGCCATGACAACCAAGGAAGGGGAGGTGGATCACCTTCAGACCAGGCCAGGAAACACATAGGAAATGGTCTCTTATATAATGTAGAAGGCTGCTCGGGCACAGAGCTTCAAAGGGAGGGCTTGCCTGGGCAGCTCGGCCAGGACCGGGCTGTACCATCAAGACTCGCTGTCTCTGCTCCACATCTTGCCGTCCACTGGCCAGCTTTGCTGGACTGGTTCCCTCTGTGGTGTGTGCTGATGCTGCGAAGGGATTGACCCAACCATGCTCCGTCTCATCTTTCTTACTGGGAAGCAGGAATGCTTAGCCTTGACTTACTCGGCCATCCCTGGAGGGCAGGCCAGTTTCCCTGGGGCTGGACAGGCTTAGCACCTGAAAAAAGGGAAGTCCTTTTAGGAACACGGACGAGGAGGAGCCAAAAAGCTGCCCTGATGATGCTGAGCTGCTCACCTGTACTTCACTTGCTGACCAAACGCTAAGGGTGCACGGACGGGTATAGAACCCTTTACTGCAGATTCCCAGCTAAGGGTGCACTGACGGGTATAGAACCCTTTAGTGCAGATTCCCAGCTAAGGGTGCACGGATGGGTATAGAACCCTTTAGTGTGGATTTCCCAGCTAAGGGTGCACGGACGGGTATAGAACCCTTTAGTGCAGATTTCCCAGCTACCCTTGTGAGCAGAAAGCCACCGAATGTAGAGAAGTGACAGCTTTGTTTCAAGATTGGGACTATAATTGAAAATGGTTAAAATTAGTTAGAATTAAAATGAGCTAGAACGTTATATTTTTAAATGTCCTTTGTTCTTTAGCTTCTCACTTACATGTATGTTATCTGACGTTCCCGATTGCTCGGGTCTGTAACATGCCCTTCACCAACAATGGTCACACTCAAGTGAGCACTTTGCAAAGATCTCCATCGGATAAGCTTTTCCTATGGACCACCCTACGCCTATTAATGTGTATTTAACTCCAGCTAACTTTAACTGGGAATTACGTTGCCTTTCTCTGTGTATGCATGCTAATCTATATTTTGTCCAAGCTGCGGCATGTACAGGTGATTTGAATATGTATTTTTATTTGAACTGCTAGGACTTTAAGAAAATCATGTCTCAGATTATCCTAGAGAGCATGATGTTTGAACAGTGATTTTTACACTGTTTTGAATTTCTTTCCAGTAACTTCGAAACTTTAAAAATGCTATCTCCCCAGTGGCCCCAGCTCCCACGTTGGGCATGTTGGCTTAGATGTCATGGTTTTAAACTAGAGACATTTAAAATGGTCTAAATTTTGCCTGACTACTTGGCTATACTACAAAGAAAAATTAGTAAATAAATGATGTCTGCTTATGTTTGAAATCAGTGAGTTTTAAGATATTCCAAATAAACATTGCTAAAACGCGAGTTTTGGCATTAAGAATACAACAACAAACAGAGAAAATAAGTGCCTTTTCAGTTATTTTTTTTTCACTCGCATTCAAAGGAACATGCTGTTAATAAAAATGTAATTTGAATTGTTTGCCCTAAAGCCAGCACAATGATGCTACCAAGGGGAGTTTGGCTGGGGCCGAGTTAATGAACTGGCTTTCACTGGATGAAAATGAGGGGCAATGTTCTGGTTAGAACTGAAACAAAGATGCTTACAAGCAACGTTGTCTGCAATCAGGTTGCTAAGAAGTTTGCCTAGTTGGTAATATTAAGAATAAATTCTCTGATTGCCCGTGGAAAATCAGTCACCTAACCTGTGTAAACTAAAACCCATCTAGAACATGCCAGGGGACTTTGCGATATATGGATGTCAACAAAGACACGCTTGTGTGACTCATTGTTATGTTGGCCTATTTATTGTGGAATGTTGGTGTGCCTGCGCTCGTCTGAAGATTCTGTTGTGGGTCTTAGTTCCAGGCTGCATCCTAAGCCCTTGTTCTGTTCCCCAGTGAGATGCTCCTGCCCAGCAGTCTGGGTAATTGTGCAGCTCCGACTGCTTCTTTCCATGTGGCCTAAGCCGCACGATTTCACTTCTCCTGCTGATGATTCTCAGCTTTAAGACTGGCAGCCAGATCTGCCCTCCAAAGATTTTCATGTGAAAAGCAGCCATGGCTCCCATCGGTTGTTTTAAAGATGGGCACTAATGAGGGGAAGCTTCCTGAAGGGCAGAGAAGAAACCTTAAAGTGGATTTAGAATGACCAGCAGAACAATGATGGGGAGATGGGATCCATATTGGTTTTGTGCAGTTCCATCACCGCTGTGCGTTTAACTGAGCAGCCAGGCCCATCCCCGCACAACCAGGCTGTCCCGACAGTGATCAGCACTCTCTGGCTCTGCCTTGCTTTGTTCTGGGTTGCGCTGTGACCCTGTGTATGTTGGCAGCCTATCGATGACTTCATATTCCTCCTCTTTCTCTTGTCTCCAATTGAAGACTGGACCGTAGCAACTGACATCGGGGATACCACAAACAAAAGCAATGAGATCCCTTCCACGGATGTTGCCGACCAAAACAATCGGGAGCGTCTCTCGGTGAGTAGGGTTGATAGGTGCTTCCTGGGTTGGTTTGGGCAATTCTGAACGGTCATATGCTGGAGAAATTGATACTGCCTCCTTAAGACCTGGTCATCGCTCAGATGAAAGTTGTCCACCAAAGATTTGAGGGTCTACTTTAGAGAGATTCAGAAGCAGTGATATAGAGAGCACGCAGCCTCTGACATATGCCTTTTTGGTAGTGTGCCACATTTTTAATTTTGCTGATATTTTATTTATGTTTTATTTTATGTGCATGGATGCTTTGAGTGTATGGCTGTGCATCCCATGTGTGTAGTTCCAGAGGAGTCCAGAAGAGGGCAACAAACCCTCAGGTTCTCTGGAACTGGTGGTACAGAAGGTGCTAGGAATTGAACTCAGATCTTCTTCTTCTGGTCTCAGAACCATAGGTTTATTTTTATTTCTATGTCTGTGGGAATGTGTATCTGCAAAAGCCAGGATAAAATGGAGGCCGGAAGAGAGTGTTAGATTTCCCCTGTGCTAAGCCACCTGTGGGTGCTGGGAACTGAAGATGGGTCTTCTGAAAGAGCAGCTAGTGTTCTTACCTGGGGAATTGTCTCTCAGCCCTGCAGTATACCACTTTCAGCGGTTATACTAGGAGATCACTGCTAGTGAATCACAACACTCTGTCCAGGGACCACACTTTCACATCTATCTCCTTCATTTAAAAAAAATAAAACTTAGGGTGTCTGCCAAACACAGTTTTCTCTGGAGAATGTTATAGGAAAGAAAAATCAGTTTCTTCTTTTAGATAGATACCCTGGGGGTGAAGTGGTATTCAACATGGCATCTGCAGGGTGATTGGCGTGCACATGAAGAGCTGAGGGGAAGGGCATTGGGGGTGAGCAAGTCCTTGCTGGGAAATACGAGGCGGCGCTTCCCTGGAAGGCTCAGGCTGGTGACAAAGGTCTTGAAATAGTCCCAGGTGATTATCCTTACTCTCCAGTGAACTGCCGCCCAAGGGTCTGTGGATCCTCGGGTTCCATGGTGGGACCAGTTTGGAACCAGGTTGAGTTTTCCTCACATACGGCATGTCCCGTGAGCTCCGATCCCTTCCATGCCTGAATCCACCATTCCCTCTTCGGCTGCCACAGCTGCAGGCTGACCCAGGTTCTGCCAAACAGGACCTGGCTACAAGCTCCTTGCCAACTGCTATTTCTCCCCAGTGTGGTTTGCAGGTGTTGTCGGGTCTTACATTTTTAATCTGACTTGGAAAACAAAGTCAAACAGTGCTTTGTGACATGAAAGTTCTATGAATCTCAAACCTTTTAATTATTTTCCCCTTATTTTATGAGGATGAGTCCATTAGACTAGGTTGCAGTAGCCATGATAGTTGCAATGTCCTCACGATGCCGTCAACGTTCCTGTCAGCATCCTGCCCATAACTCTTCTTCTAATCTAATGCTTCTCTTTGGAACTAGAAACTATTTGTGCATCAAATGTCTAAACCATACATAACTGGATTTTTTAAATTCCATAAAATGGTCCTTTATTTATGCCTCTGAGTTAGAAAATGCAGATTATGTTTGTTTGTTTGCTTGCTTTTTGAGACAGAGTTACTCAGTGTAATCTTGGCTATCCTGGAACTAGCTCTGTAAACCAGGCTGGCCTCAAACTCACAGAGATCCACCTCTGCCTCCCGAGTGCTGGGGTTAAGGGTGTGGGCCACCACCACCTGGCAGATAATGTGGCTTCTAACATTGATGGGGCTCACTGTTCCTGCCTGCCTGTGTGATAGTCTGAACGTCCTGTGTCAACTGTTGAAATATGAAGCGGCGGGGCTGCGTCCCCAACACCCCGGCCACTTGGCTAGCTCATGCCCGAAATAACAACACACAAACTGTATTCATTTAAGAACTGCTTGGCCCATGAACTCTAACCCTTACAGGCTAATTCTCACACCTGGACTAGCCCATTTCTAATGATGTGTGTAAGCACCCCAAGGTGCGCTTACCAGAAAGATTCTAGCCTAAGTCCATCGTGGGTTGCAGCTGCCTGGGAGAGCAGAGCGTGGTGGCTGTCCGGTCCCTCTGGAAGCAGCGCAGAGTCTGACCTCACTTCCTCTTCCGCCCAGAATTCTATTCTGTTTACTCCTCCCATCTATGTTCCAGCCATGAGGCCAAGCAGCTGGTTTATTATAACTTAACCAATGAAATCAACAGATTGATATATGACACTCCCACATCAGTCAACTACACTGCAGTTAGAGTAACTCACTCTGCTTCTGTGTCTTCCAGTTAGCATAACTCACTCTGCTTCTGTGTCTTCGGTACACTGAGAAGCTTTGCAAATGATGAAATAAATAGGAGATCATTTGGCAAAGAACAAGAACTGAAACAATGTAACAAGCTACAAGTAACAAGTAACAAGCTCTGCAGCTGATTCACTCTGGCACCCGTCCTGTTATGCCAGGGTAACACATTTGGTCACTTAGGGTCATCTACATGCAAGTGTGTGTGTGTGTGTGTGTGTGTGTGTACATTAGTGCCATCCATTTGTATGGTGTGTGTATGTTTGGGTATGCTCCTGCCTCAGTGTATGTGTAGGTCAGGAGACCACTTTCCCCTGTGGTTGCAAGGCTCATCAGGTTTGCAGTAGGCAAGTGTTTTTACCCCCTGGGTCATCTTGCTGCCTCAGCTGCCATTCTTTTTCACTGAAAAGGACATGTTCTCAAACCTCCAGCAGATGCTTAAAATTTCAGGTAGCTTTGAAGCTTGGCTGGGGCTTTCCCTGTGAATACCCACATTAAAGTTTGGTTTACAAATTTAGGCATGGTAAGAGTTTAAAATTGCTAATAAAACTTAACAGTTATCACAACATAGTATCAATTTTTTCCTTGCAGTCACTATGAAATAAAACAAAGGTGACTACTCTGTGGTGTTGTGACTGTTTCTTAGGAACGAGAAGGCTGGTGGTTAACCAACACCGGAGTAGTTTGTTCAGTGTGGCTATATTGGGCAAGTTCGAAGGAGGTGGATTTGATTAGAACAAGGTGGCCCCCTGCCAGCCACGAAGGAACCTCTGTCCCTCTGAGGACGTATAGGCTGATGAGGCTATAAGTCTATACCCAGAGTTTTGCTGATGTTGTGTCCGGAAGCACCGAAGAGAAGCGGCAGAAGGGTCCATTATCAGACGCCTGCAGGACACCGCCATGGCCAGTGCCCGGCAGGTGCTTTGTGACTGTCTCAATGCCTCTCTTATCTGACACCAGACAGCGAAACTGCAGCGGGATTAGCGTTGAGTTTTTATTTTCCTGCCTTCTTTGTGAACCATACACTTTGTTGCGAATAAATTACAGCTAATTTAAATAACTGGGCAGACTGGTTCACATGCAAGCTGTGTGTCCTTGGGATATTTATTTACCTTTTTACGAGTTTCAGTTTTGATCCTATGACCATCTGTCCTGCCATCATCTTAATTATTGTGCTGCTACTGTCCTCGCCACGGTTCTTAGTTCACTGTCTGCACGAACTCACAGAGGATTATACAGTCCGCAGGGCAGAGAGTAGTCACACGTGAAGATAATGAGATGCAGAGCAGCACAGCTGAACTTCACACTCAGGAAGAAGATGAGTCTAAATCTATAGCCTGCAGTATTAGCATCTGCTATGCTGCAGTAACAAACATCCCCGCATCTTAGTGGCTGAGCACTGCTGCCATTTCTCCTATGCTTCACTGCGTGTGTTACTGGTGTTACTGGGAGTCTCTTTAGCCTTGTCCTGCCTGTAGGACCTGGCTGACACACAGCTGCCCTTTGGAGAGATGGTTCTCATCACAGCAGGGAGAAAGTTCCAGAAGCAGGTGGAGTAGGGCTTCTCAGCCTTGACACTGTTGGCTTTGGTGGTGAGAAGCTCTAAGGACTTTCCTGGCCATGGTAGATGGTTAGCAGACTCCTAGACTTTGCTCGCTAAGTGCTTGTAGCGCCACCCCCAGATCCACCATCAAATCTAAAGTTGCCAAGTGTTTGAGTGATAACACCAAAGCTTGTTGATGACCATGACCTTTGACTGAGACCTCAAATCAGCAAGGACATGCTCCACCCTTTGCTAAACCAGTCTCAACTAGTGTCGAGAATACCCCTAACCACAGCAAGACAGGGAGTGCGTCTTCCAGAGAAACAGGAGCCAAGATCAATTTGTTAAGGAGTATTAATGATTACCTTAGAGGGAAAAACAATACTGCTTTAAGGGATATCACACAGAGTGAATGACACATGAAGCTTAAGCTTTTTAGTGACAGTTACCACAGGAGTTGGGAAGCACTGTCAAAGTGCAGCGTCAGTTTTTATGAATAAAGCTTTATTAGAACATAACCTTGTAAGTTTGTTTTCACATCTTCTATGGCTGTTTTCAACTTACACTGCAGAGCTGAGTTCTTGTGAACAGGGGCTATGTGCCTGGCAGAATCTGCATGTTCCATCTGTCAGAGCATTAACAGAAGCTTGCCAGCCCCCGAACCTTGATGTACTGGTTAAGTTTTGTCATCTGACACAGACTAGGATCACCTGGAAAGACAGAATCTCAATTGAAGGATTGCCTCCGCCTGATTGGCCCTGGGGGCGTGTCTGCAGGGCATTTCTTGATGAAGTGGCGTGATGTGGATTAATTGTGGGTGGAGCCACCTTGGTGGGTGGTTCTGGGATATATAGGAGAGAAAAACCTGAGCAAGCCATGGGAAACAAGGCAGTAAGCAGCATTCCTCCACAGGGTTCCATGGTTCCTGCCTCAGGCTCCTGCCCTGGCTTCCCCTGATGGCAGACTGTAAACTGTAAGATGAAATAAGCCCTTTCTTCCTGGCTTGTTTTCAGTCATGGTGTTTATCACAGCAACAGAAAGCAAATTAGAATCCTTGGCCTGAGCAAAACCTAAAAGCAATGTGCAGTGTGTTACATTATCACATCTTTGTCTCTACAATGTCACCATGTCCTTCAAGCAAGATGATCACAGTGTACCCAGAGGAGCAGCGGTGGCAGTGAATACTAAGTTTCCATTGTCGCCTCTGCCTTGGGGTTGTGACAGAATTCACACAGCTACTCTTTCTACTTGCAGAACTCACAACTTGCAATTCCATTTTTTTTAAACATTAAAAAGCCTTTTCTGATGAGTATCACCCATGCAGAAAAGTGTACGGATCAGTGATGTCTATCTCCAGTCCTGTTCAGAGCTGGGACGCACAGCAAAACACCGCCCTGCTTCTGGCGTGCCCTGTCTCCTGCAAGTCATGGCACTCAACGAAGAAGGGTGTTCACCATGGACAATGTTTTAGCATGTACAACAGTAATGAGAATAAGAAAATTAACCCCACTGTATTTTCTACTAGCAACAAAATATTAATATTATTCATCTACCACCCCTCCCTCTCCTTCCCCTTTACTCCTGTGTCTCTAGATGGAGGGATGAATAGATAGATGTAGCCATAGATACAATTATCCACATGGTATCAGTTAGAGATCTGTTTATACGTTTAACATGCTTCTCCTTTGTAGCATGGGCATCATAATAGTAAGTGTTCAGGAAATGCTAATTGCCGTGGGCATCACTATTATCCAAGAGCAGGGAGTGGTTTTGCAAGGTCGTCACAGCCTGGCTTTCTCTCCAGGTCTATGCTGTGGTGGTGATTGCGTCTGTGGTGGGATTCTGTCTGCTGGTGATGCTGCTTCTGCTCAAGTTGGCAAGACATTCCAAGTTTGGCATGAAAGGTAAGCAGAGCCACACTTGTTTTGCTTCTTAAGTGGACTCATTTTTGGCTCATGACTAACGCTAATTATCACTAAAGGAGGAAGTGGCTGCATTTATGATGACTGGTGTTGAAGCCGGAAAAATAGCAACAAGGGTATAATACTACAAATCAAGACAGAACAAACTCATGATTACTCAACACTGCCCACTTTCCTGCGAGCACAGTTGTCCCAGGAAGGATGGACTGGTGTCTCGGGTAGGAACTAACTCAGCAGTGTAGGCATGCAGCAGTACTTGAGTGTCCTGTTGTGGTCGGGTGAGGCATGGGAGCAGGAAACTCTACGGCCATGGCACCTGCTACTTTCTGTTGTATATTGAGAGTCTAAGTCTTCTGCCACCCGATTTCTCTTGCTATTGCTTTTCCGTATTTCCATTTTTTGGAAAATTAACACTGACAGAAGCAAAATAAGAAAGCCACCATGGTACCGTGAGCTTGTGCATGGATGGGTTCTTATTTAAGTGGAAAAATTCTCAGGACTGAGAACCAGAGACTGTTTCCGTGAACACATAATTGATGCTCTTAAGGCCAATGAATTCTGTTTAGGAGTGGTCATGCGGAGACACTTGAATAAATGCTTTTATATAAAAGTGAGACGTTCCCTTGACTTGGAGGCACTTGCTGTGATGTTTAAGCCATTGTATTGGCTGCAGTGAGATTATTGTATTTTGTTTGTTCTCTGGCAGTTCTTTACTGTGAGGGCCTAGGAGGGGAAGCTGTAAGAGGGCTTGGTGGAGGATGGCATGGGTCTTTTACCTGTGTGGTCAACGGGAATGACTCTGGCCCTGCTCGTCACTTGAAAAGGGATGCTCACGCAGTATCTTGGCCAGAGTGCATGGCCCTAGGGCGGATGATCTTTCCTGCTGTTTCCTTGCCTCATTCTTTTGGTGACCAAGATGAGGATGCTCAGTGGTCATCTCTTCAGACATAACACAAAACGCGATAAAAAACCCTTCCAGTCTTACTGTGGCCATCTTTTAGCCTGTGGGTCTTTGATGCTTCCTTTGGAGAAAATCCCCTTTGCTCTAGTAAACTGTGAGGCCTGGGAGAAGAGGAGGGCTGAGGGACTGTGGTCGTTGTGAAAGTGGCCTCTTGAGCCCAGCGGAAACCAGCAGGGAAACAGCATTGCAGGGCTCCCCCAGAGTTCTGAGGTAGCCAGGCCTGTGTGGGTCAGCAACTGCATCTGAACAGTTTTCAGGGACTGCTCATGTCATCATTGCCCTAGCCTTGAGAATCACTAACCCCTGGTCACGAGTGCGGGCTGCCACATCTTTCTCCTGTGGCAGTGTGGGGTTGCCATGCACACAAAACAGCCATTTCTCCCCAAGCCACCAGGCTGGACTGGCTGTCTGCTCCCCACATGCGGGTACCCACCGCGAGCGTTTATGTTTCTCACCTTCACGGGGTGCTTTATTTCCTTGGGGACATTTTGAGTGCCTGTCCCCAAGCACTACTTGCCCTGGAGAGCAGCTGGCTTCCCAAACTGAGTCTCCTTTCTGCAAGGATTTGACTGGAGGGGTTTCATCATGAGGAAGGGTGTGCCCAGCCCCTTCCGGGAGCTCATTGGCAGTGGTGGGAATCCTGGGAGTGGAATTTGGGAAATCTTTCTGCTGCTGTCCAGGAACTACACACCGAAGAGAGGTTCCTGTGAGTGGCGACCTGTTTTCTCAGTAATGCAGCAATGGGAGGGGAAAAGGGTAGATATTCGTTCCCAAGAAGGTTGTGTTACCACCAAATGCCTGCCTTTTCTGAGCACAACCCAAGGGTATCCTTAATGAATTTAGAGGAAGAACTTGCTTGGCCTTGACCAGGGCAGTCCACGACGTCGTCCAGCCATAATAGCTATAGGTATGGGTTTTTTTTCCCCCCTCTAACTCCTAAACGTAAATAAAATGTGTTTGAGACAGTGTTGTCTCAAAGACTCAGTTTCTCTTTGGAGCAGCTGGGGTTTTGTTTTATCTTTGCTTTCATCGGTGGTTCAGTCTGTACTATGGCGAGCACAAACTGACCCCCATCTGAGGTTATTGCTTAACAAATCAGATGCTGAGTTCATCATCTTTGGGATCTAGAAATTAAGATGGGGCTCGTGTATCAAGCCCAAACAAACCTGAGCCTAAAGTGCTGGTTAAAAATTAATGTGCTAGTGCACTCTCAATGCTATTAGAGTGGGGACTGCGCTCAAAACGTATGTGGTAAAATGGGGAGACTGCAAACGCTATCCTTCCGAAATAATCAGACACTGTGCCAGGCAGGGGTCTGTAGGAGCAACAGAAGAAGCTGCACAGCCTTGGCCAGAAGTGTGGAGTCAAAGAAAGACCAGTGGCTAGTATGCACATGAAATTTATACCCTTACAGGCTTTTTGGTGAGGTTTGAACCCCAATATATTCCATGTCTTAGGGACAAGTCAAGACAGAGGAGGGCTTCCAGTCCACCGTTAGGCATTCAGGGCTTTGTGTCCATCCTGGCTGCATTCATTTTCCATGGCGATGGAAACTAAATACCTGAAGCTGGGGGCTGTATATAAAAACGAGGTCTGTTCAGCTCACAGTTTGAATGTCTGAGAACCCAAACAGCCCACTGCCACCTCTCCTGAGGTGAGGCCTCTCCCTTTGTCATAGACAGAGGAAGGTTGAACAATGGAGAGATATCAAATCGCATGTTTGGTGAAGAAGCCAAGGGCAGGGTGGATCAATCTTCGTCTTTTATCATCTCTTTCTCTCACATGAACTTACTCTGCAAAGTCAATATTAACCCCTTGCAAGGGCAGCACTCCAGTGCCCTAGCCACCACGCACTAGGCCCTATCTCTTAAACATTCTATACCACCTTTCAACACCACCACGCTGGCTACCGTTCTTCTAATACGTGAACTCTGAGGGAACATGGCTCGTCTTGCATGCCAACTATCTCTATTCACAGCACAACCTCTCAGGTGATGAACGAATGGTTTAATACTGCTGATATGAAGAGCCTGGGGTAATACAAGCCAAACCCCCCTGGTTGCCACACTGTAGCTGGATGAACAATAATAAGAACAATAATTCTTATGAGGACCCAAATATTATTTGTGACCTTGCTTCTGTGGGAGTTGAGATCTGCATTGCAAACCAGGGAGTTAAATGCATTGCAACACCAGAGAGCTGTGGCATTGTCTTTGGAGATGGAGCCAAAGGAGTGAGCTTCATTGGCCCTCTGCTCTGTCTACTCGGTGAAAGCAGATTGCTGATAGTGTGGCTGTGGGATAACCCCTCTGCATGCTGCAAATGTATTTTATTACTATTGGTTAATATAGAATCTTGTTTGGCCAATAGTAAGGCAGGATAGAGCCAGGTGGGAAATCCAAGCAGAGATAAGGGAGAAGAGCAGAGTCAGAGAGATGCCGGCAACCACTGCCAGGGGAGCAAGAGGTGAGGTAACAAGTCACAAGCCTCAGGGTAAAATGTAGACTAATAGAAATGGGTTGACTTAGTTGTAAGAGCTAGTTAATAATAAGCCTGAGCTAATAGGTCAAACAGTTTGTAATTAATACTAAGCCTCTGAGTTATTATTTTAAAAGGGTCTCAGGACCGGGTGGGATAGAAAAAGCTTCTGTTTGCACAGGTGGGTACTGACTCTCAGTTCTGTCTGCTAATCTCTGTTTACTTAGTGCCTAGTCCACTTGGTACTCAATAAATATTAATAGACTGAATAATTAGAGAGAGCTATCAGCGTCATCCAGTATAAGTTGTTAATTACTAAGGACTTAATCTTTGGACGATAACTCACATGTGAATGGCTGAAGAGAGTCTGTTTTTTCCCCCCTAATTTCTGGAAGAGACAAACCCCACTGTTTCTAATTTCCTCTGACTTGAGATAATTGGAGGTCGTTGACGAGAAGTCATCTGGACAGGTCCTGTCCCAGGGCACTTGGCTTTTGCAGGACTCTGTTTTGAGCAGTGGTTTCTGAGTTTGGAAGGTGTACTTTGGTTTTCAACTTTGCTTAGGAAGCTCTTCAACTGTTGCCTTTGAACATGTGGCTTTGGTGCTTGTGGCTCCATTCAGACCTGAAGCTGGCAGAGGTGTCATCTGGTGGCTTATCTGTTAATCTAGAATTTATCTTTCACTGTTGCTTCTTTACTATAGTTTAAGCATCTTCTTGCTAATGTCTGATAGGCTGTTGGATTTGTGACAGTAACGACGTCAAACAGTAGAGTTTTTTCCTTTCCATTTCTTCTCTTGTTTATTTCTGTATAGTTACTTATTTTATTGAATGTCTAGTTATTATTAGCATAGAGGAGTTCCAAAAAAAGGGTACTATTAGTGTTTGGCCATGTACACTCAGTTATTCTTATGCATATTTAATATGAGTACATAAAACACGTGAGTCTACCTACATCGGTGACTGAATTGATATTCCTGTAAGTATAATTTGATTCTTTTTCTTCTAAGACTGCCGCCAGTTTATTTTGATTATTTTTTCAATGATATGGCTCTGAACGAATTTTCAGAGCGACTTGTTGCTAAGGAACAGCAACAGGACCGTGAATGTGCAGTGAACGCATGCACTCATTCACTCGCTTTCTGCCCTACCTCCTCTGGGATGTAGAAGTTCCCAGGACAGGAATGGAAGAATCCTGGCATATGGGTCGCCAGTTCTTCAGGGGGTGGGGCTGGCAGGCTCGGCACTCCCCACACGGGTGAGGAGAGGGCGTGGCTATCAGAGTGTTGCACTCCCTGATGGAAATGCACAGGTGGTGTTTCTCCCCCTGCATCGATGCATCCTTCGGGTGCAGATGGTCCTAAGAGATTGCAGAAGAAAGAATGAGAAAAAGGTGTTTTTTTTCTCTCTCATGGCCTCAGTGATCAAGAGATTGCGTCTGTATACCCCTAGCCTGTATGGATTCACACCCAATCTCAGCTCCCTCCGGATTTCCAGTTAAGACAGACACAAAATGACACTGTCTGGGAGCACAGGTCCACGTT